CAATCCTCATCCATTTCCCTGCAGCAGCAGCAGCCGGGTCGAGCAGCACCTGCCATCGCTAGTGCAGCTTGCGTTAAACCCATGCTGCTGGCACTGGGAAAATGGAGCCAGCATCAGTGAGCAGCACCGTTGCTGCTTTATCAGCTTTAAAAAGGGGAAAGCCAGGTACTGGATTCCCCCAGACTGGAGGTTTGTTCTTATAACCACTTTCAGTTAATGCTCTCAAAGTTCTTTCCAACCAAAATCAACTAGTGAAACTTCTGTTGAAAGCAGAAAGAGATCCCTTTGCAGGCACTGAGCGGTGAAGCAGAGGGGAACTTGGTGGTGAGACTGTTTTGTTGTGCTCTCCATGGCTGCTTTGCTTTCTTTGAATTCAGATTTTGTGGTTTTCAAGTGAACACTTGTAAGCCTTTAGAAAGGACAGTTCGGTGGTCATTACGATTGCTCATTAGCGCGGCTCTAGTATCGTCAGAAACATTTACTTTTTCAGGTAGAAAAAGTTCCTTGTGTATCTGTTAAGTCTATGCAGTATATCTCACCTTACCTAGAGTACTCATACCAATCCTATAGTCTTATGCAGAATTACCAGCTATGCAAAAATCTTCCAAGAAACCCCAAATAATCTTCCCCCCACTCCCTAACAAAACCTGTTCTGAGCCTTCTGCATAATTAAAGTGGAATGAAGGGACAGAAATAAAACTCAACACATTGCAGAAATGACAGTTTGTGGTTGTAAAGCCATAACCCTGGGCTCCGTGGTGGAAGGGAGTTATGCATCGTGCAATCATTGTACTGAGTAACAGGGAAGTGAAAAACCACTAATGAATGTCATTTTTGCAGAGAGAGGGCATAAAGCACATGCTGTGCCCAAGGAAAGTACTTATTTATTTCTAAGGTCGGAGTCTGAGACTGTATGCAAGCACAAGTGCTGCCGTAACCTAGAGACATTTCTGGACAAAACACAGAAAACCCTCCAAGCCCCCAGCATCCCCAGCCTTTTGATCCATCAGTTTTTGGCTTCTGTACCTATAAAACCTTCGTGTTTTAACGATAGCTTGAATACACATAATCTAGGATGAGATCCTTCAGATTTGAAGGGGTTTCACATTTGGTCTATATCAGAGCTCACAAGAAAAGGCTTTGCAGTGGTTAGTTATTTAAATGAACACACAGAGGATGCCCTACATATTCAGACTGATAAAGTTACATTCATCTTACATCACATCTGAGAAAAAGAAAATGTGAAGATGCTAGAACGTCAGTCCCAAACTCCCCACTGGTTTTTCTGACCTCAGTTTGACGGATGTATATGAAACAGAAATAGGGGACTTAATGAAATCACAGAATCTGATTTTAAAGTGTGCTTTTTACCTGTACTAACAAGCAGTTGGTCTGAATTAAGCCAGAAGCTGGTTGTTTTGAAGATTTCTTGGGGTGCTAGGAGGGGGAAATAAAAGAACTGTAAACAGGAAACTCATGCACCATAGGAAGCAGTGCATAGTTTTCCTTTATTTTCAATACACAGAGAACACTACAACAAAACGCAAGTGGGAGCAAACCCTGACAGCAACTCTGCTGAACCCCACTTCAGAACTAGGAAGAGCACTAGTGACAGGCTGTATGTTCTGTTACAGTACCACTAACAACAGCTAGATACACTCCTCCCGTCATGTACCACCCCCTTCATAGGTACAGGATTCAGAGTTTTGGCCTGCCTGATGTACCCAACAGTAAAGTGTTTTTCTTTATATTCACTTAACTCAGCATTTTAAAATGTGTTGCTAGTGTTTCCCCAGCAAGTAAATAGCAGTGGTGAACATGGTGTACAAGGAAGTGCATCCTATTGCTTTAATCCTTAGTGTAAAGAAAGGAGAGTGAATTTTGCCTTCAGAAAACTGAACCTGTAGGCTCACGCTACAGAATTTGAAGCCCGTGGCTGAGTTTCAAAGGAACTTGTCAGCTTGTTTAAACACCTCAGCATTAGATAGGTAAACAACACAGCCCTGTATTTTAAGGACCATAACTTAGCTAGACAATTGCTGGCAAGCAATTCCCATAGACTTACATGCCAGAAAACCTGGTGTTTGACCTTGTGTCTGTCTGATGCAGAGCAGGGAAAAACCAATCAAGTGATTGAGCGTCTTTTCTCCTGTGTAACAAGTATCTGGGTCAGGCTGCTGGCAAAGACTCCTTATGTCAGTAGTAAAGGTAACACTTCAGAGCCACCTTTCAAACCTGCTGCGTCAGGCTGTGTTTTGAGGAGCAGCCAAAATCCTGGGCTGTGTGTGCAGATTGAAAGCGGGGTTTCCATTGACCTCCCAGACACATGGGTATGTAAAGTTTCAGGGACACCCAATCCCTCTCAAACCTGCCCAGTGCGGATCCTGACATGGAGCCTGGACCAAGAGAGTCTGGCACACCTGGTTTTTACACACCACAGAAGAAAAGGGTCTGCTTATAAAGGTTATATTTCAGCATAAACAAAAATTGCTCCTGATGGAAATAACATGCAGTCTCTTTCTTTACTGGTAGGGAGTTACAAGCCAAGAATTCAATGCACTAGGCTGAGGGTTAGGCTAAGAGGCACAACTATTCCTGTTGGAGCTCCTAAGTTCTTGCTTAAGCACTTTTCAACTTGTGAGACCTTCAGTTTAGATTATCATGTATTCAAAGAAAGCACACTTTTGAGATTTTACTGTCCTTTTCATAGGTTTAAATGTTTGATACCTTTTTAAGGTCATCTCACAATAAAGTTAATTTAGCCACAAATTTAGTGGGAAAAACAGAGATGAACACAAAAGGACAAAGAGGAACAAGAAACATTTTGTTTCTCTACACCATCCCTTTCCCTATTCTGCCTTTCCATCCCTGAAGTCCTGTACAGTTTGCATGATGAAGCATCAGCTTAGCTGCGCTGTAGAAAAAGCTCTAACATGGGACTGGTCTCCTCTGGCATTGCAACATGATTGACAGCAATCGGATAAGGGCACATCTATTTCTGGTTTGAACATTTACTGATGCAGGATATCATTGAAAATATGTAACTCTAAATGCACCTAAAACAAAAGAAAACTTTACTAAACTGGGTGAAGATCACGCACCAAAGGTACCTATGAAAATCACAGAGAATTCCGTTAGATCAAGGCACACACACTGGCAGAACAGCAAACCAGCACAAAGCATGACTTTAGTGCACCAGTCCTGACACCGCCCCAGCCTGCAGAGAGCAGGAACCTTCCCCTCCAGGGGAGACATACTAGTTCCAAGAGGTCTTTTTGGATGTCAGAAGGTTCAAGTCATTTGAAAGTCATCCTTCCGAGAAACAAGGTTTGGGGATCCTCCCTTCCTGCTATTTCGCTTTGTGTCCAGCTAATCTGTGAGGTGCAAAGGCGAGGTGCCTGGGACACGGTGCTGGATTCTGTACAGCCTGTGGTTGTCCAGGCACTCCCAGGGGAGGGCAGAATTTGCACCTTCCACCTGGCAAAGCCATGGCTATTACATTTTTCTCAACACTTGACATTTCACCAGCTGACTCACTGACAGCCTGCATGCAAGAACAATTGTCAGTGTGAGCCTTTCCAGTAGGAAAACATATGGAAAACATTTGGTTTTGATCAGTTTGCATCCCAAATTGTCTCGATTCCATGCTTTCTTCTCCAGTTTATTTATGCGTTGCCATTTAACACAACCCAGTTACATGTTTGCTGTTGAAACTAGGTTGTCAGAGTATCGCTTTCTGGAAAGGATCCTACTCTTCACAAAGGTTTCATCTCTCTAAGTTACTCCATAGTTGTAGCTAGTAAAATGTTTTAAATCAGAAGAAGTTTGCAAACTTTGTTTTGTATTTGGTTTCTTGTAGTTTACGAGGCAAAGGTCCTTCCCTTTATTATCCAGCTTTGCTCCACATTTCCAGTATGATCTAGATGATCTTAAGGTCCTTTCCAACCCTAACTGTTCTGTGATTCTGAGATGTACCCACTGCCATGCCCATGTTCCAACTCCTTGCTGTAGTGAGGGAGGACTTGTCCTCCTGTTCAGACTTTGAAAACAATACTTAAACACCAGTAAGAGAACATCAAGATAGTTCAGAAAGCACCTCCTGGCAGCAGACAGTGTGCTTGCTTCAAGTCTACAGTCTCTAAAGCTTGCTGAATTGGGACAAAGTGTTACAAGAGTGTTAGTTTTTGACATTCCCAAATTTCAGGTTCTGAACCTGGACAGAGTAGAAATGAAGCTGCCAGTGTAGCTTAGAGAAGTCCTTTCTGCAATGTGTTTTACATTTCCCAAAAAAAAAGAGTCTTTTTGAAAGTAATGACATTTTTGCAGAAATTTAAAGGAAAAAAGCACATTTTCCTGAAGTGGCAAGCATCATTTTGCAAAGTATCTTTGAAAAACATTTTTGAAATACACTCCATTTTTTTCAAAGTGAAAACATGGAAGGATGCTCCCATTTTCAAGTAGAAACATGGGAAACCAGCACATTGTTAACATAGGTCTGGGGTTTAAAACTTTTGCTCAAAAAAATGTTGAAAGAGACCATAGAACTTTCAATTTCTGCACAGTTAAAAGCCAACACTAAAACTTTTGGTTTCTTTCTCCTCTTGTTGCAAGTTTAGGTGAACGTTTCAGACTGTCGGGTGCTATACCTGGGCAATTTTGTGGGTCCATGATTTAATTTCTTTCCAAACATATTTGGCCAAGTCCATCTCAAATTTTAAAGAGAAATCTTTCCAAGCGGAAAGTTGGAATTAGCAATTGCCCTCCCCCCAATAGGAAGATGAGGGAGAGACGGGGGAAGGAAAGGAAAAGTTGAATACAGTAACTGCTGTGTTCAGCTTTGAAAACCCCAATAATAGTGGAATTTATAAATACTACCTTGAAAACTAATTGGTCCTGTTTGCATATGTTCAATTGGAAAGGAAAGAACACATGGTCTCTTGCACAGCCAGTTTCAGTGATGGCAGGTTCCAAAACTGATGGCATCTTTTTCTCTCCTTTAGGATGAAAGGACTTGTGACAGAGACACGGTAGCAAGGTGTGGAGCAACCTTCCTGGAATGCGTTTCTTCAGGAAGAGAAGAGATCACTGCTGTATTTTATGGATGTCACTGAAGTAGACTTTGAAGTTCTTTGGAAACACATCACAAACCTGGCATGGGAAACCACAGCAACAATCATACCTGTTTGATAGATGATTCCTTTAAGTACAACTTGTATGGAGCTGTGTACAGTGTGGTCTTCATCCTTGGTTTGATTACTAACTGTGCCTCCCTCTTTGTTTTCTGCTTTCGGATGAAAATGCGAAGTGAAACAGCCATTTTCATGACAAACCTGGCGGTTTCAGATTTGCTTTTTGTGTTCACTTTGCCCTTTAAAATTTTTTATAATTTCAACAGGCACTGGCCTTTTGGAGATAGCCTGTGCAAGATCTCTGGTACAGCATTTCTCACTAACATCTATGGGAGCATGCTGTTCCTCACCTGCATTAGTGTCGACCGTTTCCTTGCTATCGTCTATCCATTCCGATCTCGCACCATTAGGACCAGGAGAAATTCTGCCGTAGTCTGTGCTGGTGTTTGGATACTGGTCCTCAGCGGTGGAATTTCGGCTTCATTGTTCTCCACAACCAACATTTCCAACACCAGCACAACCTGTTTTGAAGGTTTTTCCAAAAGTATCTGGAAAACCTATCTGTCTAAGATCACTATATTTATTGAAGTGGTAGGATTCATAATTCCTTTGCTACTCAACCTTACATGCTCTTCTTTAGTTCTCAGGACTCTCCGGAAACCTGCCACCTTGTCCCAGATTGGGACAAACAAAGAGAAAGTATTGAAAATGATAATTGTGCACGTGGCCATTTTTGTTGTGTGCTTTGTGCCTTACAATTCCATACTCTTCTTGTATGCTCTTGTGCGCTCCCAAGCAATAGCAAATTGCTCCTTGGAGAGGTTTGCGAGGACAATGTACCCAATCACACTGTGCATTGCAACAATGAACTGCTGCTTTGACCCATTCATCTATTACTTCACATCAGAATCCTTCCAGAAGTCCTTCAACATAAAGACCCAGATGAAAATGGATTCTCTTTTCAAGACTGAGACAGCTCTAACAAAGACTGCGCTACCAGCACCACAGGATGAAATGAGTGACCAGGCTATTACAAATGGAGGAGACCCAACATCTGAATCTCATTTCTAGTAAGATGTTTGCACATTGAGTTCTCCCCCATTAACTTTTGATTAACACCACGTGTGAAATAGTTGTTTCAGAATATGTGGGTTCACACACATGGTGTGAATGAAGTTGCTGGGGGATAACTACACAGGTGAACAAATCCTTAACACTGGGATGGTCCCATCACATGCAACAGCTGAACATGAAAGATAAGAATCCCAATGGATCTCCCTTTGGAGATCATTGATAGGTAACAACACATGTGCCAACTGAGGAGGGAACAGAATAGCTTCTTTAAGCAGAACATGCCAACATTTGGCATTTTTTCCCCCAGCAGTTTACATGGGACAAGATGGGAAATAGAAAATTTAATTTTCTTGATATCTGCCAATATTTCATGCCTTCTGGAAATGCATCATCATATATTAACACAATAACTTCACACAATATGTATGTTTGCTTTTAAAGACATAATAAAAGCTTTCGGCTTTTCCTTATTTCACTGCAAGAGTATACCTCCTGATTTTGCAAGGTACAAGCATGCTGAATTTATTATGTGGAGAGCTTTGAAGTGTAAACAATTGTTTTGAAAGTAGGCAAAAATGTTGCTTGGTGATAGAAGAGAAAAATAATGAGAAGAGTATTTTGGAATAAGAAGTTTCGTCTTTGTCAGATTAAGCTGTCAATTTGTTTTAAATGCCACCTCTAGGGAGGAGTAAAGGGCTCATTGCTGCTCTGCTGCACCTGGGCCTTTATGTCCCAGGAGATTTTATATGACTGTTTCTGGAAAGGGCTAGACTATGAAGTCAGCTGAAAGACAGGGCTTGAAACCCCAGAGTCCTTACGAGGACAAACCTCTTCTATGGAAATTGAGTGCAGCTGAGGGGGGGCAAGAATTAGAGTGCTGACCTCACTGAAGAGCTTGTCTGGATACAGACAATTGGTGTCAAAGCACCCAATTAAGAGAAGATCTTTAAGTGATTGCTTGCTGGTTTTCTCTATACAGTCAACTAATTAAACTACAAGGTCTCAGAAAAGCTCCAAAAGAAAAGTAAACCAAGCCCCACTCTCAGTTACAGCAGCATTTTCTTTTTTTCATCATTACATATCCTGCTTTTCCTTTTATATAGATTATAGAAATACATGGAAAGTTATCTGCCTATATGTCATTGAGCTTTACTAGATCTTTCATTTCTTTAGCCATTGATTCATATTTGAAGCTGTACTGACCTTAACATTCTGAAGTGTAACACAAATGAAAAAGACAGCTTAACTTGAAAATGTATGAAGCTCCAAAGCAGAAATTTTTCTACTGGAAATGCAGGTCAGTAATCTACATTTTTTGACCCATTCATCCAGATCAATAATCCACCTTTCCCATTGTACAGCATAAAACTACTTCTAGGACTACACTGCCCCCCAAAAAGAGCCAGAAAAAATATTAATTGAACAGATGTTTTCCACTCAACTGTTTGTCTTAAGTCTCTCAGATCAAGCCTCCTGAGATACTGAGAGCTGCTCATCAAATTTGATCACTGCTTAAAGCAGCAGAGGCTTTTAAAGTCTGCAAAAAGTGTTAATGCTTTGAAGGGAATATTTATTTAGCACTACATTCACTTTTTTATTCAAACTCAGTTGCTTACCAAGGCTTGGACAAGCCCCAGAGATCATTCACCCAAATGACTGTTGCTTATCTAGTGCCCCTTACTTTTGGCTCTTAATGCAGAAAATTTTATGGTCAACTCATCATATGCAGGGAGTATGAGAGCAACCAAACTATCCAATCTCATCTTTAAATTATCACTGTATTTACTAGAAACTTGCATACAAGACTGGTTTAGGAAATCTTTTGCTGTATATTAAACCCTCAAACACCACCACTTTGGAGCAGAAAAAAAACATGAAAACAAGACCAGATCATTCAAACTACTCAGCGAAACGAGGCAGATGTGGCAAGACAGGGCACAGTCAATTACAGTGAATTTGTCAGCATCTGGGAAAAGTTTAACTCAAACAGAAGCAATGAGCTGTGTTTGAAAAAGCATCAGTGTTTGCCATTCAGCCATATGCGAAGTGAAAGCCAGTGCCATGCCCCTTTCCTTCCGTGCAGGCCTGAAGCAAAATGCTTTGAGGGCTTTTTAAAGTTTGTATTTCCTTTGGCTGATGAGCCCGTTTCAACACTTGCCATAAGATGTATACATTTCGCAGAAGCTGTTTCCGTGACATCGGATGGAAATGCAAAGTGAGGCAAGAGGGATTTTACAGGCTTTGATACAGGCAGGGTTTTGTGTATGCAGCAAAGCATCCTTTGCACCACAGCACTGTCAAGGGGGGAAGAGGGGGTGGTGAAACCATCAACAACTGACACATTCTAAGCTGTGTGAAGGAAGTGGGGCACCTTCCACTGCCCTACCATTAACTGGCTGTTAAAAATTGCACTTAATGAGAAGAGAGCTCCATTTTTGGAGATGGGAGAGAGGACTGAGTGGAAGGATTCACTAAACAGCTAAGATGTGTTTAAAACAGTCTTCCTGTTTGCAAGCAAATTGCATGGAACACCAGTAAGTGCTCTTCTCCAAGGCAAAGCCCTGTATTATTTCAGCTTTGCAAAGAGATTAGAAGCCTGTTTACACGCTCACTCTCAATGGACAACATATAACTGTCAGCTTGTAAATCTTCTGTTAAAGCTGCTTGTTCCCACTTGCAAGCAAGAAGCAGATAGGTGAGATTCCTGAGTGACATCGAGTTTTAGAAGCTGGATTGTTCTCATGCACATGGTGGATGCTCACTCGCTCTATGTGAGCAAGGGCAGAATATGGCAGAGGAATCTCTCATTGCAAGAATCCTGGAGGACCTTCTGCTTTGCAGACCTTCCTCCAGTTAAATCCAAGGGAAGAGAAATCACACCTAACCTAGAAACCACTGCCTAGGCTTTCCTATGAACATGCTAAAGGAGAGGAGGGAAAGAACTGCGTGTGACTGGACGACCTCCAGGCTGTACGTACACAGCTTGACTGTAATCTGAGCATAATGGGTGTCTTTTTCTAAGTGAAACTACTGCCAGTGCTTACAGATCTGTTTGCAGTTTTATAGGGCAAGAGCTGCGGTCGATATTCTCACATAAAATGTAATACTATCATCATGTGCCAAAACGCTAACTGAAAAGATTCATTATTTTGTAATTTAATCCCTTATAAATTATATGGAGATCATATGTTGACTGACACTCACATCTGGGAGGACAGTTCTTGACTAATCTTTTTTCCCTAGGTCAGGTATACCAAGTAAATGCTCTATGGTTTGTGTACAAATAACCAATTATGCATTCAGAGGGAGGAAAAGTAGTTTCTCAGATGTTGGTAAAGCCAGCTGGAAGGAGTGATGGTGGTAAAGGAAAAGTGGATTCACAGTTTTTCTGGCCGAGGTGCAGCTGAGTGTTCCTGCTCCCATCTGACAAAGGGCTATTGTCAAGCAGCACACACCGGAACTATGAGTTTAAAAGCAAAAATCAAGTCAGTGTCTTTACCTCTCTGAAGCTGAGAGACAGGACTCAGCAATCCCCTTAGATGTTAAACACACAGCATTTAGCAAGGATTTCATTGCTCCCAGCCAGCTCACTTTTCCTATTCCCAGTCCTCCATATGCCATTCATTCGCTGTGAGCTCACCGCAAGCTTTGCAACTCGTTTCCCAGCTGGGAAGCTGACGTTCTGAAAGGCAATATGAAATGTCTCTGCCCAAACTCACCTTTGTGTATGCACACCTATGCAAAATGCCACAGCAGCCTGAATGTTCATGGTAGATGTTATGACAGGAGGAAGCGTTACTGTATTAACCCATCCCTGGTGGTGTTCAAGGTCAGGTTGGACAGAGCCTTGGGTGACATGGTTTAGTGTGGGGTTGGAACTGGATGATCTTAAGGTCCTTTCCAGCCCTAACTATTCTATGATTCTGTTACAGGCACCATGAAAGCCTGCTCTCCTGCAGTAGGCTTTTCTCAGTAACATACCAGGCTGTACATCAGATGCAATGTGCCAAGTGTTTGTGGGACAGGGTAAGTCTTCACCAGCTTTGCAGAATCAGTGCTAACTACCCCGGCTCAGGTCTGTGAAAGGCAAGGGCAAGGAGGCAGCACAGGTCACGTATAGAAGGTGTGTACTGGCTCCTTGGGTAAGTAAGAAAGGTGACAAGTTCCTGTGCTGGCTGCGCAAGCACACAGCTGCTCATCAGACAGCAAGGCTTTGTTCCTCCTAACCTTGCTCACTGCAAGCCTCTAGGTCCTTCTACAAATATCCCTATAATGTTTTTGGGAAGTTCTCCCCACGGTGCTGCACAGATGATGGAATGAGACAGTCTGCTCTCCCTCCCTGCTTTCTACCCAGGAAGAACTGCTGTATAACCCAGAGGGGAATTCCTCTGACAAAAAGCTGGTGAAGGAAAAGGGGGACCTATCATGCTGATAAGATTATACAGCACTTCTGATGATCTTCTCAGAGGCTGGTCTCCCTCAAGAGCTTCCTTATAACACCCCATGCCCTTCCCAATGGGTGGATTTGCTGTAAAGCAGGCAGGAAATTACCATTTCTGAAATGCTGTCTCAGAACAGGGACAGCGATAACAGCAGTTCCTGTGTAAATGTGTCTACACAATGTACTATATGAAGAAAGCAGGAGCTGGCTGCATGAAAGGGAACATCCTGCAGAAAGGGTCAAGAGAGCCACTCTGCCCTTCTCCATCCTTTCCTGCTGGTACCAGGCACCAAAAGCTGGGCTGAGCGTCCCTGCCAAAGGTTAACCCTGAGCGCAGGATAACCCCAAAGCTTTGCTGCATTCAAAAGAACGGGCTGCAAACAGTTCTTTGGGTAGGATTTAAGAACAGAAACAAACCAGTCCTCATTTCAGTAAGCAGATTATGTTGCTCAGCATTAAAGAAAGAGGCAGAGCTATTCTTCATAAGATTAGAAGTCCAAGCCCTGGTTCCCCCACTAATGCTGGAAAAGCTGCAATTTTAACTTCTGAATGCTGACCTCAAGCTTACTCCTGAGAGCCCTGTCTGGGTACAAACTGTGCGTTTGCTCTCTGTACTCCTAAGGACCATAACTCAAAACACTCCAGAGATGCTGTGCAATGGAAATAACTTGTTTAGAGAAATCAGTTTGTGGAAGGTTCAAGATGATGCACTCAAACAGCCTAGAAAGTGAGGAAGAGCTACTCAAAACACCGTTTTTACTTCCCCCAGCAATGGTCAGAGATCCTTTTCTCTAGGTACTGATTCCAGCTGCTGGAATCTTCTGTTCCTGCTGGGGTGAGGGAAAAGGAGGTCAGCAAATACACAGGCTTAAACTTGTAATTTATAGAGGTTAAAATCACTGTCTTAAATCAGGTACATCTCACAGCAAAGCAAAGTGCTGTTGCTGTTTTTTTTCTTTGGAAATTGTCACTTTAAAATGATGTTTAACACTGCTGGCTGTTCTTGGTTTTAATTCTTAAACTTCCACGCAAAACCAACA